TACAGGACTGTACTCATGCCAACACGCCATACGTGTCAACTTTATTACGACACATGTAAGACTGCATGACAACACGTCATACAAACCATCTGTAGTACTGCATGACAACATGCCATACATGCCATCTGCAGTACTGCATGGCAACACGCCATACGTGCCATATTTAGTACGACATGGCAACACGCCATACGTGCCATCTGTATTACAGCATCTCTAAGACTGCATGGCAACAGGCAATACGTGTCATCTGTATTACAGCATCTGTAAGACTGCATGGCAACACGCAATACGTGCCATCTGTATTACAGCATCTGTAAGACTGCATGGCAACACGCAATACGTGCCATCTGTATTACAGCATCTGTAAGACTGCATGGCAACACGCAATACGTGCCATCTTAATTACGGCATCTGTAAGACTGCATGGCAACACACCATATACGTGTCATCTGTAGTACGGCATGGCATTATGCCATACATGCCATGTGCAGTACTGCATGGCAACACGCCATACGTGCCATCTTTAGTACGACATGGCAACACGCCATACGTGCCATCTTTATTACGGCATCTGTAAGACTGCATGACAACACGTCATACGTGCCATCTGTAGTACTGCATGGCAACACGCCACACGTGCTATCTGTAGTACGGCATGGCATTATGCCATACATGCCATCTGCAGTACTGCATGGCAACACGCCATACGTGCCATATTTAGTACGACATGGCAACACGCCATACGTGCCATCTTCATTACGGCATCTGTAAGACTGCATGGCAACACGCAATACGTGCCATCTGTATTACATCATCTGTAAGACTGCATGGCAACACGCAATACGTGCCATCTTAATTACGGCATCTGTAAGACTGCATGGCAACACGCAATACGTGCCATCTGTATTACAGCATCTGTAAGACTGCATGGCAACACGCAATACGTGCCATCTTAATTACGGCATCTGTAAGACTGCATGGCAACACGCAATACGTGTCATCTGTATTACAGCATCTGTAAGACTGCATGGCAACACGCCATACGTGCCATCTTAATTACGGTATCTGCAAGACTGCATGGCAACACGCAATACGTGCCATCTGTATTACAGCATCTGTAAGACTGCATGGCAACACGCAATACGTGCCATCTTAATTACGGCATCTGTAAGACTGCATGGCAACACGCAATACGTGCCATCTTTATTACAGCATCTGTAAGACTGCATGGCAACACGCAATACGTGCCATCTGTAGTACTGCATGGCAATACGCCATACGTGCTATCTTAATTACGGCATCTGTAATACTGCATGGCAACACGCCATACGTGCCATCTATAGTACAGCATGGCATTATGCCATACATGCCATCTGTACTGCATGACAACACGCCGTACGTGCCATCTGTAGTACTGCATGGCAACACACAATAAATGCTATCTGTAGTGCGGCATAGCATTATGCCATACGTGCCATCTGTAGTACGGCATGGCATTATGCCATACGTGCCATCTGTAGTACTGCATGGCAACACTTCATATGTGCCATCTTTATTACGGCATCTGTAAGACTGCATGGCAACACGCAATACGTGCCATCTGTAGTACGACGTGACAACACGTCATACGTGCCATCTGTGGTACGACACGACAACACGTCATACGTGCCATCTGTTGTACGGCATGACAACACGCCATACGTGCCATCTGTAGTACTGCACGACAACACGCCATACGTGACATTTGTAGTACGACATGACAACACGCCATACGTGCCATCTGTAGTACTGCACGACAACACGCCATACGTGACATTTGTAGTACGGACAACACGCCATACGTGACATTTGTAGTATGGCATGACAACATGCCATACGTGACATTTGTAGTACTACATCACAACACGCCATACGTTCCATCTGTAGTACTGCACGACAACACGCCATACGTGACATTTGTAGTACGACATGACAACACGCCATACGTGCCATCTGTAGTACGACATGGCATTATGCCATACGTGCCATCTGTAGTACTGCATGG